GAAAGACTATAGTGTAACACAATCTGGATGGGAATCACAATTCTGCTGTCAACTGTCTGTGCAACTTTTAGCAAATCATGATCCATCTCTGAACCTACACTCACTCAACTGTAGAACAATGGGAGAAATCAGTGGTTGCATCCAGGCTTCTCTCCCAGTGTTGAAGAAGTTCTCTAACATCAGCCTGGTGAGCAGCTAACTGCTGGTAGGCACAGTGACATTAATTAATTAAAGGTATTTAAAGTTCAAATGCTATGTTTCTTGCTACCTCACCAAAAGAGCTCTGTTCAGTTTTTGGCCACAACAAAAGAATAGAGTTCCTATTAACATGGAGCTACATTTTATAACCAGGAAAAAGTAGCTATGGCTACTTCTATGAAACAGGCAAACACACCCTATAAGTGTACTTACACTGTGGAGAAAATGCAAGTCTGATAAATTAGATATTTATCTCAGAATTTACATTTTCACTAAAGGAAATACTTTATTGTAGATTCACAAAACCCCAGACATGGAGAACCCCTTTAAGAACCACTTCATTTATTCCTCTATAACTACTTCATTTATTCTATACATCCCTCTATACACACAGAAACCTATACGGCTCAGGAAAGAAGTATAGTATAGCTCGCTGTCATTTTTTTTTTTAATTGAAGTATAGTTGACTTACTATATTATGTTAGTTTCAGATATACAGCAAAGTGATCAGTTACCTACATACATTTACTCTTTTTTTCTATTCTTTTCCATTATAGTTTATCAAAAGATATTGAATACAGTTCCCTGTGCTATAAAGCAAATCCTTGCTGTTTATCTATTTGATACATGGTAGTGTTCATAGTTCTCTGTTCTTTAAATCTATTAATAGAAGCATTTTAACAATCCCTTTTGATCCAAGTTCCATTGTTGAATAATCTTCACTTAAATCTATCAAATTCTGATTGCTAGTCTCCTTTAGCAGATGTCTGTGATTCTTTTGCCTGTATAGTCAAAAGATTTCTTGATACTATATAGCCCTGATTCCTTCTGCTCTTCCCCAGTCAACCCACTTCAGTATTTTTGACTGGAGAATCTTGTGGGTAGAGGAGACCGGTAGGCTACAATCCACTGGGTTGCAGAGAGTCGGACACAACTGAAATGACTTCACATGCATAGGATCTCAACTTCTGAAATTCCCATTGAACTTCCGATCATGCTTTACAAATCCTCGATACATGCATTATGCTCTGAGCATCAGATCAACTGCCTGTTAAATATTTCCTCCTGGGCTACAAATTAAACGTATTCCCACCATGTTGGTCCTCTCCCAGTGACTTTTTTTTTTTTATTCATAAATAGCACCAACATCCATTCATCTGCCCTAACCAGAAAATGTTTTTGAACTGTGGTGTTGGAGAAGACTCTTGAGAGTCCCTTGGACTGCAAGGAGACCCAACCAGTCCATCCTAAAGAAGATCAGTCCTGGGTGTTCATTGGAAGGACTGATGTCGAAGCTGAAATTCCAGTACTTTGGCCTCCTGATGCAAAGAGCAGACTCATTTGAAAAGACCCTGATGCTGGGAAAGATGGAGGGCAGGAGGAGAAGGGGACGACAGAGGATGAGATGGTTGGATGGCATCACCGACTCAATGGACATGGGTTTAGGTAGACTCCGGGAGTCTGTGATGGACAGGGAGGCCTGGCATGCTGCGGTTCATGAGGTCGCAAAGAGTCGGACATAACTGAGTGACTGAACTGAACTGAATCAGAAAATCAACTCTATATCCCCTTCACTCAAATTCCATAATCAAATAATCACCAAGATTTTGTTCTAGAAAAGTGAATTCAGCTACTTCTATCTCCATTATTCCCAGTTCAATGAGCCATTCTTTCTCTTCTAGATACTGGAAGAGACCCCAGTGGGTCTCCTCCCCAGATCCATTCTGTATACAGCAGCCAGAGTGAGCTTTCAAAAGCGTATCAGATCATAGCATTTTCCTCAGGTGTCTCAGAATAAAGACAAATGTCTTCAATAAGGCCTTTAAGGTCCTGCATGACTAGGCCCTCTCCCCCACCAGCCTCACCAGTCACATACTAAGCTGCTGTCTTCCTCACCTTCAGCTCCTTCTTCATTCTTCAGCTTCCTTCTTACTTTAGCCCTTTGCACATACTGTCATCTCTGCTGGGAATGCTCTCCACCACCCCCATATCTTCAGAGCTCACCTTCTTACCCTCCAGACTCTACTGTCTACATTACACCTTCACCCAGCACTCACCTTGCACTTGTCTTGCATTTCACATACCAGAACTCTTGGCAAACATGCTTCTAATTATTTATTCATATTTTATATCTGAAGACAATATCTGCCTTGTTCACTGCTCTACCACCAAGTGGCTTGCACATAGTAGGCATTTTATGTTCTAATACCATTCTAGTAAATGGTCGACTTCTCTTATCGTAAATTAGCTTATCCCCTCCATTCATTTCCCCCTCTCCCTTCACTGCCAAATTTTTCTTAAAGACTGGACTTACTAACTGTGCCCCATTCACTTATCAACCCACTAAAATTTGGGGTCCTCAGGTATTACTCCAGTAAAATTGTCACTACCAAATTTCACCAGTGAAAGGTGATGGGCTTTTTCTAGATTGACTCCTACTCAACATCCCTGTGAAATGTGACACCATGGACAATCCCTTCCTGTTTCCTTCATGCAGAAAATGTAATGAGTAGCTCCTCTGTGATTAAAACAGGGTCCCTTCTCACATCGAAACCAGTGAGAGAGTCAAACCAATGACCACAAACACAGAGCTACATCTCTGTAAGTACTAGAAAGAAAAAGCAAAGGGCCAGAAGAGTGTAAAAGGCAGAGATTCTGAAATTGCTCTCCATTTTCCTTTCATTCCCATGGCTGAGTTCTCCTCCACTTGTCCCATAAACACCTGCATGCCAGGGTTTCATCCCATCACTCTGCCTTTCTCATGTACATCCTCCTCCTGCGTTCAGGGCCAAGAACTCCCACATCTGTATCTTCAGGTTGAATCTTCCAAGCACCTCTTGGACATCTCCTGGATGTTCCCGAGGCACCTAAAATGATGCATTCACAAGTGAATTCAATGTCTTTCCCCAGTCCTTCTTTTGCTGTTCCCTCTCTCACAAGTCACTTAATCCAGAAAATAAACACTCCTGAGATTTTTCTCTCCATTTCCCTCACCCCCACAGCAATCAGGGAGTTGTCACAATTTTGCCTTCTAAGCATCTTGTAATTTCACCTGTTCTCCATACCCACCCCAGCACCACTAGTTTTGGTCAGACATTCATCATCTTTCCCCTGTATTACTGTTGTGGCCTCCTCTCTGGACCTGTGCCTCCAAGTTCCCCCTACTCTGATCATTCATTTATTGTGGTCGTGTCGCTGCCATGCTTAAAAGTCTCCAGTACCTTTAAGATATAGTCCACACTGATTAGCTTCATAATCAGATCCTGCCTCCCTCTCCTGTCTAATTTTTTTTTCATTCATTCATCCCACAAATAAGCATTGAGCATCCAGTATGTATCAGGCACTATTTTAGACACTAGAGGTAAAGCAGAAAACACTGCTATGTCTTCATCAAGCCCCAAACCCACGTGCTACAATACATAGCACACACATCTCACACACACTCTCACACAAATATACACACTGACACACACACACCTGATTTCCAGCAACTTGAAATCTCTCATCATTTTCTACAGGACCCATGTTCTTTCAAGCTTTCATATAAAACCTCCCCTGGCTGAAAGAATCTTTTCCTTCCTCTCAGACATATTTGCACTCCCTATAGACTCAACACTCAGATTTAACCTCCAAGAAGCCTGTAGGAATTCCCCACGCAGACTTAGACATACTCCCTTCTCTCCAAGACACACCACTTTGAACACATATCTTTCACGTGGACATCTTTTTCACATGTGTGTCTCCATCATTAAACACTGAGTCCTTTGAGAGTAGGGTCCCATCTCCTTCAGTGCACATCTTCAACAAATTTTCTTCTGATCATAGAAATTGAAAAATAAATGAGCAAATAAGTTCAACTACATATTTTAGAGGAGCAGTCCACAAACTGTACCATGCACGAGAATTCACTGGACATCTTGTTTAAATGCCAATTCAGACTCAGTAGGTCTGTGGTGGGGCTTGAAACTCTGCATTTCTTTTTTTAATGATGCACACTTTTATTATGGCATTAAATATTTAAATTTAAATGTTTTTCAATGATTTTTCTAACCACAACTTATAATAAGACCATTAACCTTGAGTTATCTATGTGTAAATCTACATGTTCTTTCCGCTTTACCCTCAGAGAAAGATTATTCATTGACTTATAAAATAAACTAGGATTTTGAAAAAGGAACATATCATTTATATTGGGTTGTCTAAATAGTTCGTTTGGGCCTTTCCATAACATCTTATGGAAAATCTCAAATGAACCTTATGGCCAATCCAATATAATTACTTAACCTAAGTGTTTGAAATCACTGCATTTTTTTCCCCTCTAGGAAATAAGTACATTTTTCCATTTCGATGGAATAAACTAACAATGACTAACAGTAGTCCTGCACAGTTTTAAGCCCCTCCTCTCTTCCATAATTTTCAAAGACTCTGCATTTCTAACACATTCCCAGAGGAGGCTGATGCAGCCAGACTAAGGCCACACTTTGAGGAGCAAGGCTTTAAAACTTGGTGATCACAAGCCCAGAAGGAGAAGCTGATTGGAAACTATTCTGTAAAAATGAAACGACAAACACATGATAGTTCTGCTCCACATGTTGTCAATCAAATCTGCATGGCATCTTGACAGCCCTCCGTTTCCTGAGATACTGGAAGAAGGCAGCGCTGTTGCCACAGGGCTGCACCCTAACCTACTGGACACCCCGCTCAGTGCTCGCCAGACCCGCTGAGAAGCCCTCAGTGGGCTGATTCACCGGCTTGGGCTTGTTGCAAAAATTCAACGCCGGTCTTCGTCTCCAGCTCTACAGATGGCTCCCGGGTGTTCCCCTGTCTCCTCTAGTGTGGACACGGGCGGCCGTACTTCCCTGGCAAAAGACGATGGCCCAGGACGGTGCAGCCCCTCCTGCATTTTCCCTGTTCGAAGGCGACAGCCCTGGCTGCCATTCAGGGCGTCACTTTTCAAGCCGTCCTGCCTCATTGACAGAATCCTGGCGCTGGCAGGCGGCTCTACCAGCCAACACACTGCTCCCCAGCCCAGCTTCCTCTGCACTCCACCAGGAGCCTGCATGGACTCTCGGGGGCTGCCTGAAAGGTGATCCCAGTTTTAGTAAAAAATTTTCCTACCCTCAGAATTCTGAGATGCTACTGGGATTTACAAGTTGTTTTAAGGCTGTTTTAAAGACAAACCTATGGTATTTACATAGATATATGGGCCTGTGTAAGCGCTGTGTGGTTCTTTATAAAAGGTGCAGTATAAATGTTCTTGTATTACTAGAAGGATTATATAAAAGATGTTAAAACATGTTTTGACCGAGCAGTGGTATAGACAGCCACAGAATATAATGTTTCCATTGTCAAGAAATCCCCACTGGAGACCTCTGAAATCTCACATTGATTGAGTCGTGCCGGACTTAAAACACATTGAAAATTTTCCAAATGGTAAAATAGAAAATATACTTTTTCTTTTTTTTTTTTTTTTAGTATTTACCAGTTAAACAGTAATGTACTGTAACTGGCTGACCTTTCACAGCAGTTTTTGTTCTACTTTTCCAAAAGCAGCCAAAAAGGGATTGTTTTCTTTTAATGCTTTGTTTTGTTCTTTAGAAAAAAAGAATCAACTTATTTTGAGCATTCTACAACCCCCCCTCTGCCTAAGCAATAACATTATAATGGCAGAATAATCACTGTAAACAATGCCCTGGGGATTTAGTTGGCTACAGCAGGGGACTCTAAGAGCCAATTTCAGTGCTTTTCTTAACTACATCATTGCATTTTTGTCTGCAAGTGGATAAGAAGAGTCTCCTTTTAGAGCAGGTTGATGGAAAGTGCTAATTGTTGACACATTAGCTAATTGTTATGATTAGCCTCTGACTTTTTTTTTAATTCGCAAAGTCAAGATCTCAGCTGTGAAGTATGAAGATGCTTTATTACAACAATACTATGAAAACATTCAAACAATGAGAGGCTAATCTTCAGAAGCATTCAATCCGGTGGCCTCTAGACAGCCCTGCCTTTAAAGAATAGACAACCATCAGGAAAAAAAAATATCCTAACTGCTGCATCCACCCAATATTTCAGACATAAGTGCTCTGGGTTATCATTAATGATCTGTTTTTACAAATTCACTGTGTCTTTGGAAAGTTGAAGTAATTCCAAACCAAATAAACCACATGCAAGTTGTAATGGTCTACTGACAATTGAGGCGGCTTGGAATCCACAATAATGTGAACCTGTAAGGTACCAGACTTAGATGTTTCTCCATTTTCTAAAAATCAACATGGGATATTTGAAATTGGGACCATTCTCGGCTCTAGCTCAACTTGGAAAAACAACTAGGCAAGAATACAAAAATGTATGTGTTCTTTAATTTTTAGAGAAAAGGAGAGAGAGGAAATTAAGTAGAGAAAGTAGCAAGAAACCAAATTTCAGGGTTCAATTCTTGACTCTGGCCACAGAATAAGCCATTATGCCATGCCTCATCCAGATTTCTGGAAAATGCAACCAAATAGTTACTATTTGCTATAGGAATAACCTGACCTCATATAAAAATATTATTTGACTCAATTTCAGTTTTTAAAAATTCAGACACATCTTAAGATCAATGCACAATTGTATCATGATAAAATGTAAAAAAAAAAAAAAAAGAAGAGGAAGAAGAAAATCTGAATAGTTATTTTCCAAAGAAGCCATACAGATGGCCCACAGGCACATGAAAAGAAGCTCAGTATCACTAATCATGAAAGAAAGCGAAAGCAAAGTTGCTCAGTTGTGTCCGACTCTTTGTGACCCCATGGACTGTAACCTACCAGGCTCCTCCGTCCATGGGATTTTCCAAGCAAGAGTACTGGAGTGGGTTGCCATTTCCTTCTCCAGGGGATCTTCCCGACCCAGGGATCGAACCTGGGTCTCCCCCATTGTAGGCAGATGCTTTTACCGTCTGAGCCACCAGGTTACGCAAATAAAAATCACAATGAGATATCACTCATACCTGTCAGAATGGTTATCATCAAAAAGACAAAAGATAACAAGTGTTGGTAAGGATGAGGAGAAAAGGGAACCCTTGTGCACTGTTGGTGAAAATGTAAATTGGTGCAGCCACTATGGAAAACAGTGTGGAGGTTCCTCAAAAAATTAAAAATAGAACTACCATATGATCCAGCAATTAGTAAATGAAAATACTAATTCAACAAGATACATGCACCCCAGTCAGTGTTCACTGCAGCGTTGTTTACAATAGCCAAGATATAGAAACAACCTACATGTCCTCGATGGATAAATGAATAAAGAAGATATGACACAGATAGATAGATAGATGTTAGTGTCAGTCATATCCAACTCTTTGCAACCCCATGGATTGTAGCCTGCCAGGCTCCTCTGTCCATGGAACTCTCCAGGCAAGAGTACTGGATTGGGTAGCCATTCCCTTCTCCAAGGGATCTTCCTGACCCAGGGATTGAACCCAGGTCTCCCACATTTCAGGCAGATTCTTTACCCTCTGAGCCACCAGGGATTATTCAGTCATTAAAAAAGATTTAAATTTGCCATTTGCAGCAACATGAAGGGACTCTGAGGGGATTATGCTAAGTGAAGTAAATCCAACAAAGACAAGCACTGTATAACCTCTGGTATATATGGAATCTAAACCAAAACTAAAATCAAAACCAAGCTCATAGATTCAGAGAGCAGATTGGTGGTTACAAAAACAGCAGGTGGAGGGGAAGGAGGAGGTGTGAACTGCTATGCTTTTTTTAGCTTAAGTAAATTGAATTAAAAATTTTAAAACACCACAAAAATCATTTTATTTGCCAACAAATGGGGAAAATACAATCTCCTTAAATTACTCTTGTTTATAATTTTCCCTAAATTACATAATCCTATTTACAACCCATCTTACTCCATATATTTATGATTTCTTCCTATGGTAATATTCATGTTAAACTTTAAGTATCTTCATTCTTAAGAAAAATATATTTATCAATTTTAAGCAAGTCAGACTTTATTTTGTTTGTATATAATTTGACTATTTTGAGTGACTTAACTGGTTATTAACTGGTTAACCCAGTTAGAGTTCTTTATAAGATTAAACGTGATAATAATTTAATGTGGCTAAAGCAGTGCTTGGCACATAGTAAGCACCTAATAAATGTTAGCCACCATCATCATCATCAAAGTGACAAGTAACCAACCAAATAGTCAGACTTTCACTTGTAGAAAATAGTGTAGATGTTCCCAGTTTAAGCAAGATGCAACACAGCATCACACAGGAAAGAAAGTATTGTGAGCAGTAGCTATGAAATTTTGGGGGGTAGCACATGACAAGTCAACACTTTACTGAACTTTTATTACACAGTAGGCACTCTGTTATGCAGCTAACAGTAGGACTGTCTACATGCACAAAATGAGTTGAATTTTAAAAACCAAACAAAATTATAAAATTCAAGTAGTCTCTCTTTGATTTGAATGCCCCAGGAGTAGAATCCTTAGATTATGAAAAATTGAGGTTAGAAAGACCAAAGATAAGAGGGAAGTCTCAGAGTAGACATATGCAAATTCTTATAAAGTTTTGCCTTTGCTTAACAAAAAAACTGAGTCAGTGCACAAACCTAAGATAATCAACAAAATCTTTCTACCCTAAATTTGTAGTCATTAAACAAATAATTTCTCTTTCCTTGGTTCAAAACTTTTCAAGTCCTTTCTTCTCCACAATCTCAACTAGATATTTAAAAATTCACTTTGCACTGTTACAAAGATCATAGGAAAAGACAACGTTTTTCCTTGTTCCAGTCCTCCATCTAACAAGAGTGCCATCTGACTGAGACTCAGTACCAGCTCCCAAGTCTGTGTGAGAGACACAGCCTGAAAATGTCTCCTTTTTTCCCCCACTCCACAACCATTCACCAACCACCCACCTAACTCAAGGACATCTCACCCAGGGTTTCATCACAAACCCCACATTCAGCTCAACAAACCACTTGATTGTTAGTTTCTTTTCCCAATCTCCTATTTTTCTTTCTTAAGTTATCCTAGAAATTCTTTGAAATATATGGAGATCAAAATTCTCACCATAGTGCAAATGGGCTCAAAGTAAAGCATCATGTCAAGGAAACTCTAGGTTGAGGACAGATTACTGTGGGTGAATTAAATGAAGTTATGATTTCAAAGAAAAATGCATTCTTGACTTGAGTCATTTATTTTCTAGTTGCATTAAACTTGTTTTCCTACCAAAATAAGATCCATACTAATTTCTGCATGTGTCATTGCTATCACGCTTTTATTTATAATGCTAAAATGTTATATGTAAGAATCTAGTTATATCTCACGAAACACTCTTCTGCAATTTGAGTGATTCCATGTTAGGACTTATGTCCTTGTAAGAGAAAGATTTGAGACCTAGAGAGGCGGGCCCAGCGGGGGTGACAGAGGCAGAGACAAAGGTCATACAGTTGCAGGCCAAGGGGATGGGTACCAAGGCTTGCCTGCAGCCAACAGAAGCTGAGAGACAGGCTTGGAACAGACTCCCCCCTCAGAGTGTCCAGAGGGGACCAACTCTGCAGACACCTGGATTTCATCCTCGCAAACTAGAAGATGAGAGAGGAAGTTACTGTTGTTTTAAACTACTAAGGGTGCGGTTATTTGTTAGGACCATTTTAGGAAACTAATACACTCAGACTCAGGCTTTACCACGGGGTTGCCGTGGAGCTAGAGGAGACGATGGGGAGCAGCCAGCACAATGTCCACTCAGTAAAAGCTAGCTCCTTTCTCCCCCTCGGCAGTGAGACGGGGAATGGGGAAGGTTATCTGCTGCTGAGGACTCAGGTTGGCTACTGATCTCCTATGTAGGGTGGGAGCTCCAGAAGGCGGTCTCCGAGTCTCCTAGCTCATTCCTCTTGCTGGGAAGCGCCAGGGCTTGTCTCTGAGGATACTGTGTCAGTACCAGTCTGTTTGGTGTGGGCTTTTCATCCTGTCTGCCTCACTGCCTGTCTCTGCCTTCGAGCAGGGCTCTGTCCTCGTAAGGACAAGCAAGGGCCTTACTAAGCTGACAATTCAGAAGTATATCCTACAGCTCTGGGCTGGACGGCGGGACCCATCTTCTCAT